TCAGCTCTCTCCTGCAAGCCTTGTATAGTTATCAGCACTCTTGCCCTGGTTCACACCAGTGCAGTCAGTTCCAGTCAGTTTCTGCTACAGAAAAAAAAGAAGTAGAACATGCTGCATTTTTTCTGCACAGAGCTGTACTGGAACATAGAAAACTGCATCAAGAGTGCAACAGAACGGCGTGTGATGTGAACTGTAAGCAAAAACATATTGGGAATGCATCCGGAGTGTGTTTTTTGTAGTGTGAACTGGCCCTTATACTTACCTAAGCCCGATCTTGATCCAGCACTATGCACGGTTCTCTCCGTCCTCACTGGCTCAGAGACAGCAGAGGGAGCCATTAGCTCTTGCTGCTGTCAATCACAGCTAGTGAGGAGGGAGTGGGGGTCGGGGCTGAGCCATGCTCTGTGTTCCAATGAGCAGTGTTCGGGAGCGAGCACACATGGGTGCCCCCATAGCAAGCATCTTGCTATGGTGGGCACTCGGTGAGGGGGAAGGGCCAAGATCATCAGTGGAAGACCCCAGAAGAGGAGGAATGGGACTGCTCTGTGCAAAAATCATTACACAGAACAGGCAAGTATAACATGTTTGTGTTTTTAAAAAATAAAAGTTAAATATTTACAATCACATTAAAGGAAGTTGAGGAATGTTGAGTTAATGACAGTAACATCAGGTGAAAGTAAAAAAGCCTAAAACAAGAAAACCAATGCAGCTGCCACATATAGGAATCGGTATGCAGCAATATACAAGTAATACATTTTTATTGTTGCGTTTAATAACGCTTTACGTCCAAATTCTAAGTTAGAACTTTGTGATCAAAAGTCATAATTCTGATAGTAAACATCAGAATTCTAAAATTAAATTCTGTGGTTTCAATTCAGAATTCCAAGTTCCAAAGTCAGAATTTAAATCTAAATTTTTTGATTTTAATGCCAAAATTCTGACTTGGAAACTCACACTTCTGGCTTTTTCATCTCGGAGTTCTGACTTTGAACCTCAGAATTCTGTTTTGGACCTCAGAATTTTAAAAGTCAGAATTTTGTTTCACTATTGTCTTTTATGATGCCCCCAGTGCTCTTCTGTAAAAAAATGTGAAAAGACAATTTTGAATGCAGCTTACACTTTAAAAATAAAAGTCCTGCCTAGGAGCAGACACCCCCAATGGGGGGATTTACTAAAACTTGAGAGTACAAAATCTGGGGCAGCTCTGCATAGAAACCAATCGGCTTCCAGGTTTTATTGTCAAAGCTTCATTGAACAATCTGACGTTAGAAGCTGATTGGCTACCATGCACAGCTGCTCCAGATTCTAGGTGCTCCAGTTTTAGTAAATCTCCCCCATTTTGTTTCTAAATTATAAGAGGCCCATGAAGGGAAGGCAGCCATTTTGGCAATATAGAGATACCAACCCAAGGTGTGTAGAAATGCACAGCAATAGTGCAGCCATGTCAACGTATCCTGAAATCTCAGGTGTCACCCAGCCAAAGGCAGCGGATGGGGGTGTACACATGTTGTTACCTCCTCTGTCCTCTGTCGCGTTTGTACTGCCTGCTGTACTGGACCTACCCAACTGAATGCATGTTGTTGCAGCACGATGGTCCAGGTTTTAGGGGTTAAACTAACAATGAGGAAGTGACATAATGCCTCCTCATCGCATCTCAAGCGCCCTCTGAAAAAGAATTCACTGCTGCTTGCTCTTCAAAGGGCAACGCCAGTATAAACAAGCCCTTACTGTGCTGTAAAATATGGGAGACCTGGAACTGTGGAGGGATGAGGGCAGGGTCAGGGGAATAAAAGGAGAGTTGTACAGCATGCTGGGTGAAAGAGTTAACAACAGGCTGAAAGCGCGGCAAAAGTTCTGCATGCAACATCTTTGGCGTTTTTTCAGAAAACACACAGGACATAATAGACGTCTATGGGAAAGAGCAGGTAACCTGCATGAAAACCGCAGATACACTACGCTGCACTCACACTGCGGCCAAACTCCTGAAGAGCAATTTGAAAGGGGCCTTGACAATTATACGCAGGCCCAGGAGTCATACATTTTCTAAGTCAATAGTTATACCTGGGGGAGCCGGGTATTTTTGATGAGGCCATTTTCTGAAGTAATAGTTATGTCCAGGGAGACATCCATTTCCTGAGGTAAAATTCATACCCAGGAAAAGACAGACATTTTCTAATAGTTATACCCAGGAGTGCCGCCATTTTCTGCGGTAATAGTTAAGCCCAAGAGAGCCATCCATTTTCTGAGGTAAAAGCCATAGCCTGAGGAGACAGCTATTTTCTGAGGTAAAAGTCATAATGTCAGCAGCCAGCTATTTTCTGAGGTAAAAGTCATAGCCTGAGGGGATAGCTATTTTCTGAGGTAATAGTTGTACCCGGAGAAGTCAGCCATTTTCTGAGCCAACATTTATACCCAGGGATTCCAGGCATTTTCTGGTTTCAAAATCATACTCAAAGGAGACAAACATTTTCCAAGGTAATAGTTATACCTAGGCCAGGGATTTTCTAAGGTAAAATTCATTTCCAAAGAAGCTAACCATTTTCCAATAATAATCTTACCTAGGGGTGTCAGCCATTTTCCAAGGTAATAGTTATACGCAGGCCAGGTAGCCAATCATTTACTGAGATAAAAATCATACTCAGCACAGCCAGCCATTTTCTGAGGTAATAGTCATACCAAGGGGTGCCAACATTTTTCTGAGGTAAAATTCATACCCAGGCTAGCCATTTTTAGATAAAAATTACACCCAGCGGAGCTGGACATTTTCTGAGGTAACAGTTATATGCAGGCAAGGGAGCCATCCATTTTCTGAGGTAAAATTCATATCTAAAGAAGCTAACCATTAATAGTAATTCTTATACCCAGAGCAGACATACATTTCCTGAGGTAATATTAGTCATACCCAAAGGAGATGGCCATTCTCTGAGGTATTAGTAGTCATACCCAAAGGAGACGGCCATTCTCTGAGGTATTAGTAGTCATACCCAAAGGAGGCCATTCTCTGAGGTAATAGTCATACCCAAAGGAGACGGCCATTCTCTGAGGTATTAGTAGTCATACCCAAAGGAAACGGCCATTCTCTGAGGTAATAATAGTCATACCCAAAGACAGCCATTTCTCTGAGGTAATAGTAGTCATACGGCCATTCTCTGAGGTAATTAGTAGTCATACCCAAAGGAAACGGCCATTCTCTGAGGTAATAGTCAATAGTCCATACCCAAGGTCATACCCAAAGGAGACGGCCATTCTCTGAGGTAATTAGTAGTCATACCCAAAGGAAACGTCATTCTCTGAGGTAATAATAGTCATACCCAAAGGAAACGGCCATTCTCTGAGGTAATAGTAGTCATACCCAAAGGAGACCATCATTCTCTGAGGTAATAGTAGCCATACCCAAAGGAAACGGCCATTCTCTGAGGTAATAATAGTCAAACCCAAAGGAGATGGCCATTCTCTGAGGTATTAGTAGTCATACCCAAAGGAGACGGCCATTCTCTGAGGTATTAGTAGTCATACCCAAAGGAAACGGCCATTCTCTGAGGTAATAATAGTCATACCCAAAGGAGACGGCCATTCTCTGAGGTAATAGTAGTCATACCCAAAGGAGACGGTCATTCTCTGAGGTAATAGTAGTCATACCCAAAGGTGACAGCCATTCTCTGAGGTAAAATAGTCACTCTCTGAGGCAATAATAGTCATACCCAAAGGAGACGGCCATTCTCTGAGGTAATAGTAGTCATACCCAAAGGAGATGCCATTTTCTGAGGTAATAATAGTCATACCCAAAGGAAACGGCCATTCTCTGACGGTCATAATAGTCATACCCAAGGGCGGTACCAGCCATTTTGTGAGGTAAAAGCTGGCCATCCTCTGATTGAGAACCGTTGTTAAAGTGGTACTCTAGCCAGAACTGGTTTGTGTAATGTAGGTCAGTGCCAGAACAGAGGTGCATTGTTTTCTATGGAACAGTGCACACAGCTGTGTAAAGATCAGTAAGGCCTTTTGTACACGAGCGTAGTCTTTTCTCATGTCTATACTCAGCATTTTGTTGACAGAGAAGATCCCGAGTAAAATGTTCTGTAAAGACATTGCATAAACCTTTGTACATATATATATATATATATATATATAAATATATATATATATATATATATATAACTAGAACTAGCAGAGGCAGCAACATCATAATTTAAATAATAGTGGGCAGCACAGTGGCTAAATGGTTAGCACTTCCGCCTAGCAGTACTGGGGTCGTTGGTTTGAATCCCAACCATGGCACCACCTGCCTGGAGTTTGCATGTTCTCCCTCTGCCTGCGTGGGTTTCCTCCGGGTACTCCGGTTTCCTCCCACACTCCAAAGACATGCTGGTAGGTGAATTGGCTCCTGTCTAAATTGGACCTAGTATGTGTATGTATGAATGTGAGTTAGGGACCTTAGATTGTACACCCCTTGAGGGTTAGGAACTGATGTGAATGTACAATATATATGTAAAGCGCTGTGTAAATTGACAGTGCTATATAAGTACCTGAAATAAATAAATAAAATAATAATAGTACTAAACATTAATGAGAATTCCCTGTTTGAGGTAACAGACAGACCCAGCCAAAGCAGCCATTTTGTGGATTACTTCATATAACATACCTATTCTATTAGTGGTAGCTATGCCTAGTAAAACACTGTCTCTAGGTGGACTCTAGTTCACTCAGAAAAAACTCTGTGTGGAAAGCCATACATGCTGGGCTTAGGTCTCCACAAACATGGCCGCCATCACTTCTCACATCCAGGCCGCCCGGGGACATGTTCCCAGCTCCTGGTTCCCTCTGGTAACCTGAGCGCCCGCCTTTTGTGTACTTTGTCCCGAGCCTCTCTCAGCGTCCGGCGGTGACAGCTGTGTGACAGGGCGGCGCCTCCCTCCAGCTCTGGTTGTAGCGGCACATTGTTCACCCCATGAAAACCTGCACCCCCTGTGCCTGCTGAGCGAGCGAGTGGGTGTAGCAAGATGGCCGCGCTGGGGCTCGTCCTTCATGTGGGGCTCCTGGCCTGGTGTGTGTTCGGGGTCTGGCAGAATGTGGTCATCACCGGCTTGGCGCAGGGACACGGGGCCCATACGTACGGGGGGCGGTGGAAGTACCTGACCTTCATTAACCAGGTGAGAGGAGCTGACAGGACCCCGCATGGTGCTCTATGTGCAGTGCCAGCAGTGGGGGGCCATTCACACCAGGCAGGGCCATTGTGGTGTGCTGTGTAAGGGCACACCATTCATTCTAATGCATTGCCTATTGCACCTCAAAAGACTGATTTTTTTTTTTTTTTTTTTTTGTTATTTTAGGTTTTTTTTTTATTATTTGTATTTTTATTCACTTCTTTATATTTGTAGCGCACTGCAACAGCTCAGACTAAAGTTGAATAATTCCCTTGCTGTAGGTGTAGGCCATTTACTTACCTGTCTGGGGACTCACAGGACGTTGCTAAGATGTTGCTAGGGAAGGACCAGTTACTACTGGTCACCTCCACCATCACAGGAGCGAGCTCAGAGCTACTGCATCAGAGGAGAGAGAGTGCATGTGAGGGGGTTTGAATCAGAGAAAGAGCTCCCTCCTGTGATGGTGGAGGTGAGCAGTAATACCTGGGCCTTGCCTGGCAACATCCTAGCAACGTCCTGGGAGTTTTCAGGCCAGGCTTCATTAGGTGCATAAACAGGCTACACTGATAGCAGGTGTCAGCTTTCCTGACCATTTGCTGTCTATAGAAAGGCCTCTTGAATGCATGGCAGTTCTTGCATTTCAGATACACTTGCAAAGATCCCTTTTTGACAAAGATCTTGTTGATAAAAGAAAATATTTATTTAAAGTGGTTGTTAAACCCTTACATATACCCAGTGAGGTGACTGGCCCCAGCTGATATGCAGAGATGAAACAGATCCCCCTACATAAATTGTACCTGTTTATCTGTAATCTTCTCTTTTACAGCTGTTTAGAGTGCTGAATTTATAATGCTTGTCTGAGAGTTCAGGAAAAAAGGGGCGGAGAGCTGAAATTACACACCGCAGAGCTCAGTGAGAGCTGATTGGAGGGAAGGGACACAGACCCTTTTCCCCTCACCTCCCCCCCTTTCCCCTTTCCCCTTTCCCCCTGCAAACAGGAACAGAACTGAGGCTGTCAATCACAGGGTATGTGCTGGAGGTCCCTCCCCTGTCACCATTTTTCTCTTGGTGTCAGGAAAACTTGTCAGAAGTGTTTCAGGCTGATAGCAGAGGAACGAGGCAGCAGACAAAAATGACAGGGGGAGATTTACTAAAACTGGAGCACTCAGAATCTGGTGCAGCTGTGCATGGGAGCCAATCAGCTTCTAACTTCAGATTGTTCAATTATTAAGCTTTGACATTAAAACTTGGAAGCTGATTGGTTTCTATTCAGAGCTGCACCAGATTTTGCACTCTCCAGTTTTAGTAAATAATCCCCTTAATGCTCTGGATTGAGACAAGCGAACACTGTAGAGGGATATGCTTTGTTCATCTTTCATGTCTGAGGCTTACACTCGTGCTATAGCCAAAAGACGGCTTCAGCGCGGGTGTCCAGTTTTGGGAGGGCGTCATGACGTCCTCCCAGAACACGCTCCCAGCGGTGTGCACCCAGCACTGTCAGTGATCGCTGTGTCCTACGGATACAGCTGATGACATGACTAGGTTAAAGGCCAATCACCGCAGCCTTTAACCACATGATCAACTATGTCCAATGACACAGCTGATCAAATAGTAAGTACAGTTTCCGGTTATCGGCAGCACTTTCCTCACACTGTCACAGAATTGGCAGATCTGCACTGATTCAGTACCCTGAATATCCGTGCTGCCAGTCAGTGCCGCCTAGCGGTGCCCATCATTACTGCATACCAGTGCAGCATCATCAATGCCCATCAGTGCTGCCTATCAGTACCCATCAATGCTGCCTATCCATGCCACCTCATCAGTGCAGCCTCATCAACGCACATCAGTGAAGGAGAAAAATTACTTGTTTGCAAAATTTTATAATGGAAACAAAGAAAAACCTTTTTTTTTTTTTCTTTCAAAATTTTTTGCTCTTTTTTTGTTTATAGTGCAAAAGTCTCTAAAGCAGTGACAGCTTTTCGTTGGCCAAATTGCTGTTAGCTGTTGCACTTTGCTCTATGTAGGTAGATGCCAAGAAGACTTTACACCTTGCCCTATTGGCTTTATCATGATCTCCGTAATACCCTAGTCACATAACGCTGCCTTCCTTAACGCCAGGCCTTTTATCCACTGGAAAATGTTTCTGGTCATCAAATTCTGAATCCCTCGGGTGAAGGTCAACAGAATGATGATTGATGCCAGAATGCTGGTTATGTGGCAAAGGGTAAAACCATTGTTAAAGAGGTACTCCAGCCAGAACTGGTTTGTGTAATGTAGGTCAGTGCCAGAACAGAGGTGCATTGTTTTCTATGGAACAGTGCACACAGCTGTGTAAAGATCAGTAAGGCCTTTTGTACACGAGCGTAGTAATTTCTCATGTCTACACTCAGCATCTTGTTGACAGAGAAGATTCTGAGTAAAATGTTCTCTAAAGACATTGTGTAACCTTTTGTGTGTATATACATATACACAGGGCTTGAAATTTCCACTCGCCTGCTTGCCAATGGCTAGTGGAAATTATAGTGGGGGCGAGTGTGTCCCCCAGGGCTGTCTTTCTGAGCAGGCTCGGAGCTCAGGCCGGATCTGTCATTGGCACTGGGAGCCATCAGACTGCTCAATAGCTGAGCGCAGTGAAAGCAAAGGAAGGAGTGTGTGCTGTGCTCTCTGCCTCCCCCTAGAGTGCAGTACCCAGCTCTGTGAGTGAACAACGAAGTACTGCAACTTTTTATGGTGTGTGTGTACGTGTATATGTGTGCGTTTGTGTCTGTGTATGCATGTACAATTGTACATGTGTCTGTATGTGTACATATGTGTTGTGCATATGTTTGTGTATGTACATGTGTGTTGTGTGCATGTATTCTGTGATTTGTACATGTACATGTATCTGTGTGTATGCATGTGTATGTGCCTGTGTGTATACGTGTGTGTGTGTGTACATGTTTCTCTGTGTGTATGTACATGTCTGTGTGTGTGTGTACAGGTGTCTCTGTTTGTGTGTGTTTGTTGGTGGCGAGTAAGGCCTGGCTAGTAGGTCAGGACTTGAAATTTTAAGCCCGTATATATATATATATATATATATATATATATTTTTTATTTTTTTCTTCCATCCTCCTATACATACGTGTGTAAATTGCTGCACTCACATGTAAAATAAATGAAGAGGAGAGCCGGCAACTCCTAAATCCATATAAACTGCTTTACTTCTTACATCACAGATGGGGGCGGACTGACAACTCATGGGGCCCCCAGGCAATAGGGTTCATGGGGCCCCTGTGTCCTTGCCCAAACTCAAAAAAGCCTATGAAAAAGGTACGAGGGGCATCTCATGGGGCCCCCTACTGACCCCGGGCCCTCGGGCCGTGCCTGAGTTTCCAAATGGTCAGTCCGCCCCTGATCACAGATCAAGGCTAACTGCCGAAACGTGTTAGCTCTTTTTATGCTAACATTCACTACGATGTAAGAAATAAAGCGGTTTATATGGATTCAGGAGTAGCTGGCTCTCCTCTTTGTTTCTACTGTATACACTGGTTGGAGGACCGTTCAGAGCCAGAGCACCCGCTTCTGGATTCCAGACTCAGAATGGCTTTCCTGTTGTGAGCGCTGCACCTATTTCTACTCAAACCTAAAACTTTCTATTTTATTGAGTCTCTGTATTCATCGCTGTATGATCGTAGGTTCACATCTGTTCAGGTGGTGCCGCTGCGGATCCGCACGAAAATCCGTGCAGCCGCACCACCTGCACAGAGAAATGCTGACCCGCGGGCGGGTGCCATTACTTCTAATGGCACACCGCCCACACTGGAAAACGCAACGGTACTGGGAACTGAGGTTCTGTGTTGGCTGCGTTTTCAAAAGAAGTGCAGGGACTTCTTCCCTTCTTCAAATGAATGGGCTCTCGTGCCCATGCCAAACACGGCCCGCACGGCTGCATACACCGTGTTCCAAATTATTATATAAATGATATATTTTTCTCATTTACCTAAATAATTGATGTAAATAACAGTCAGCATAATTCTCATGTTATCAACTATTAAGAGTACAATTCACATTTTATTGAACAAACCTCCTAATAACAGGATTTTTGTTCCAAATTATTCCGCACAGTAAGTTTCAAAACACTTTATAGGTTGTAAAGAACTGAAAATTGTCATTTGTTGTGTTTGCAGCATATTTACTGAAATCAAAAGCTATTTCAATCAAACGTTTAACAACATTTTAACTTTTTAAACATTTGAACCGGTTACGTTACATTGTAACATAGGACCCCTTATTTGATAGCAGCTTCACAAGTCTTGCATCCATTGAACTTGTGAATTTTTGGACAGTTTCTGCTTGAATTTGTTTGCAAGATGTCAGAATAGCCTCCCAGAGCTGCTGTTTGGATGTAAACTTCCTCCCACCCTCATAGATCTTTTGCTTGAGGATGCTCTAAAGGTTCTCAATAGGATTGAGGTCAGGGGAGGATGGAGGCCACACCATGACTTTCTCTCCTTTTATCCCCGTAACAGCCATTGATGGAGAGGTATTCTTTGCAGCATGAGATGGTGCATTGTCGTGCATAAAGATGATTTTATTAAGGAAAGCATAGTTCTTCCTTCTGTACCAGGGAAGAAAGTGGTCAGTCATAAACTTCACATACTTTGCAGAGGTCATCTTTACACCTTCGGGGGCTCTAAAGGGGCCGACCCGCTCTGTTCCCATGATTCCAGCCCAAGACATGACTCCACCACCGCCTTGCTGACATCGCAGCCTTGTTGGAACAGGGTGGCCGTCCACCAACCATCCACTACTCCATCCATCTGGACCATCCAGGGTTGCACGGCACTCATCAGTGAGCAGGACTGTTTGAAAATTAGTCTTCATGTATATTTCTGCCCAATGCAGCCGTTTCTGCTTGTGAGCATTGGTTAGTGGTGGCCGAATAGAAGGTTTATGCACAGTTGCAAGACTCTGAAGGACTCTACACCTTGATGTCCGTGGGACTCCAGAGGCACCAGCAACTTCAAATATCTGTTTGCTGCTATGTAATGGTATTTTAGCAGCTGCTCTCTTGATCCGATTCATGGATCTGGCAGAAATCTTCCTCAATGTGCCTTTATCTTCACGAACCCGTCTGTGCTCTGAATCAGCCACAAATCTCTTAAAAGTGCGATGATCACGCTTAAGTTTTCGTGAAATATCTGTTTTCATATCTCGTCCAAAGCATTGAACTATTTCACTCTTTTCGGCAGCAGAAAGATCCTTTTTCTTCCCCATATTGCTTGAAAATGGTGCTCTGCTTAATAATGTGGAACACCCTCCTTTAGTAGTTTTTCCTTAAATTGGGCTCACCGGCCAATCTAATTATCACAGGTGTCCGAGATTGTTTTCAGTGATCAAAAGAGCCCTGACACACAATGCCATCCATGAGTTAAACTGAAAAACAAAATATTTCATCTTTGTGACACTTAAATAGAATTTGCATAATAATTTGGAATGCGGTGTATATGTGAACCGGGGGTTACTGATCTTTACTCATCTGTGTGCATTTCTCCATAGACAATGATGCACCTGTATTCAGATCAGTAACAAACATGGAGTTTTTACTCCCATGTGCAAGAGTGTCTAAGGCCTCATTCACGCCTTTACTGGCATTTTTTATTTTTATGGATCTAAATGCAGCTGCTATGTTTTCAATGGTGACCTTCACCACTGAACATGTACTACGTTCAGATCCGTGACACAAAATCCCCCAAAAATCTGCATTGGAGGACATGCATATACATTATGGTACTGGAAAAAAAACAGAAGTTTATTCATTTTAAAAAGTAGATCGAAAAACGGGTATCATTCAACAAAGAAACTTTTTTGTTCCGGTAAAGATCAGCATAGCATAGTAAACATAGCTTGAAAATCCATTTCATTCATGCCAGCGAGTACAGCTAGTGCTGAATTCTGGTGCTAGAGAGTAAGCTGCAGCTCTCATACCCACAATTCTTCTCCCCTTGTCCATTCACTTGTATTCTAGTCACAGAATGCCTCCAGTTACATACTTCCTGTCTGCTCACTCACCCTGCTTTATCTAGTGAGAAGTAGTGTAGTCACACTGGGAGAGGAAGTGGACTACAGAGCACCTCCCTTTTCTTCTAATATCCATAACTTGAAGGTGGGGGGGGGGGGGTTCTTCTGTAGTTCACGGAGAATTGGGAGCAATTCCAACTGATAACAGCAGAGAGCACAGGAAGTTAAGTTTGCTGGATTTCTGGAAGGATCAATAGGTATTTGTTTGCACTTATTGAACAGATCTAACAAAACACACTTGGTGGTACATTTAACAGACAACGAGGGAGTGAATTGGAGACATTCATTGTTGGGGTTTACATACTATTGAGCCCTAGGCCCCATGCATGCTGGACATTTAGCCCTGGTGTATGAGACTCCGGTAGGTAGGTGTGGGTGGAAGGCAGAGGTGCATTTCCCAGTCCCGTTGCCAGCAGCCCATAAGGCTCTATGACAGGCTGACCGCTGCTGTGGCTCTAATGTTTAGGGCAGCATGCATTCCAAGCATTCATCTTTGGGCGCGTACTATCCAAATGAGAGGTGCCCCTGTGCCTTCCACCCGCACCAAACTGCTCATGCGCCGGAGGTAAACGCCCAGCGTGCATGGGGCCTTAGACTGTATGCATCAAACAGACGGCAGAACAGAATATAAAGCTCCTATAATTTGGGAAATCTGCCAGCGTAATCTTTGAATGCTGTTCTTTTGCAGGTGAGCCTTTCTTTCCTCCATAATTGACAAATGTATGGGGAGGATCGCTGCTAATGGATGTGGTGTGTATGGAAGTCTAGATCTTTGCTAATCCAAGGTCCTTTCCACTCCGTTCATACATTCATCCTCAGCAGCTGGTCCCATCTTCTCATAATACACTCAGAAATGAACTGTTCTTTACACCTGTAACTAATTCTCTTCCATGGGCCTAACGCAGTGACCTGTCTCCTTGATTTGATTTGTAATGTAATATCTGATGCCGGGAGAATTTAAGGAATCCGAGAGATGTGAATCATCGAATGCCTTCTGTCTGCTTCCTCAGTGGCAGAGCTTAGCAGCTTAACAGCATAAAACAGGGCTTTTTATTTAGTGTTCTAGTTAGATAATCCTTATTACTACACCTAAGGGCTGGTTTGCCCCAGCAGCAGACATTGTCACGCAGCTGCTGTTGTGTGATGTGAAGACAGCGGTGCTGATGCGCTACTTTTTTTTTGTTAGAACTTTATTGAAATGTCAGAAAAGTAACAGTTCATTCAACTCTGCTGGCCGCAGTGCATTGTGATGAATTGTATTGCAGTGTGCTTTGCTGAAAAAGAGTACTGCATACACTGCCATGATAGGGAACAAGGCTCAGTGCAGCCCAATGCATTTTTTTTGTAGATGGGCCCTTAAAGGTACAGGCAAGGAAACATGAAAATAGAAGACTTGAAATGTACTAAGTCAGGGGTGGGCAACTGTGGCCCTCCAGCTGTTGTAGAAGTACAAGTCCCATGAGGCATTGCAAAACTGACAGTTACAAGCATGACTCCCAAAGGCAGAGGCATGATGGGACTTGTAGTTCACCAACAGCTGGAGGGCCACAGTTACCCACCCCTGTACTAAGGGATGGTACCTGCAGTCATATCTGAAGAAACTGTCTTGTTGTAGGCTATTGTCCTCCACCTACCTGACGATATCATCTGTTTACTTTGGCTTCTGAGTCCTTACACAGATAACATTTACTGATATGTATTGTCTCACATTTGTGGTTGGTTTTCTTTTTTTTTCTTTTCTCTGTTTTACTTAAAGCGGAGCTCCACCCAAAAGGGGAAGTTCCGCTTTGAGCCCCACTCCGCATTAAGGATTGGCGCCTTTTGGAGAGCGGGTACCCAAATTTCACAGGTACCCACTCCCACTTCTGCGATCGCCCAGGCGATCGGAAGCGGAAGTTGTCCTCCCCGCCGTCTTCTGGGACACGTGACAGGTCCCACAAGACTACGGGGCCAGTCACAAAGTACAGCACTACTCGCACATGCGCATTGGGCTCCCGGCTGTGAAGTCGCAAGCTGTCACAGCCAGGTGCCCAAATTGAAGATGCCGGCACCAGGGAGAAAAGACGGCCGGTGAAACCATCCCACACCTTCCCACACCCAGAAAAAAAAAACAGAGTGGGGCTGAGCACTGCTCAACCATTCATAGGCAGCTTTGTATTCTGTGAATGAATACAAAACGTCCTCTGACTGGGTCGGAGATCTTGACATCATCTGCCTGCTTCTCTGCCTCAGCCAGTCAGAAGAGGCTTTGTATTGATTCATAGAATACAAAAGCTGTCTGTGAATGGCTGAGCAACACTCGATTTTTTTTTTTTTTTTTTTTTTTTTTTTTAAATGGATGTAAGACAGAAAGTCTTGTCTCACAACCAGAACACGAGGCCGTGGACTGTACACAGCTGAGGCTACATGCTGTTTATACAGCGCACTTAGTAGGCTCACCTGTTAGTGTAGAAAATAGTTTGTTTGGGCCAGTTAACACACTGGTTGGTTAATAAAGTAATGGTAGAGTTCAATATCAGCATTAAAGATTAAATCCAGCCTGCCCTTCAGGGTTGCACAGTTGTACAGGCTCCTCTCCTGTACCAAAACTGCCTGTTCTGATTTCACTGCACACTGTGAGGTCCTCACAATGAGCTTTTAGAAGTGTCAGATACAGCCCTGTATGAGCGAGCCTCTTCAAGTTCTCCAGTGCCTTCTACAGTGATTTTGTAGAAGTCTTGCCCTGTCCAAAGGAATGGGTTGTGTACACAACACTCCTGTCTGAGGCTTCTGTCTGATATTTAGTCATGTGACTGGTTCTTTTTTAAAGGGCATGTTCGTTAAAATATTTGTGAATTTGCAGAGCCCCCCAGACACTTTTGATGGTTTTTTTTTTATATTGAGACCTGTTTGATATTTTTCCTGTACTCTCATTAAAAATCTATAAATAAATAATTGAAGAAAAAAATAAATGCTAGGTGTCTATAGCTGTGTCTTTTTGCATTTTATTTGATGTATGTTCACAAACACTGTTTTACTTATGTGGATTTTTTTCATTTTCTCACAGGTTCTTCAGGCGGTGTTCTTTGGCATCTGTGTTTCATGTGACCTTGTCCAGCTGTGCTTCTCCATTAGGAATCCATTATGCTCCTTCCTGACTCGGTTAAAAGACTATGCCTTCACTGTGTTGGTGTTCCCAGTTGGTGTGGTGGGTATTTTTACTAGAAGACTCAGTGTTCTACAGATTTCTTGACTACGGAGGCTGTCAAAAGTGTCTATACCGGTGGTTGGTTATTGTCACTGGTCTGATAATAATGACTTCGATGGCTTGCAATAATAGACAGTTTACTGAAGAATAGATAGTGTATATGAAGCTGGGGTGGGAGACAGGAAGACACAATATAGGAAAAGATTTTGGTAGAGGAAAATGTTTTTAGATTTTGCTCTAATTGCTCATCAACCAGTCAATGGGATGAACAATTAGTGCAAAGTCTAAAAAGGGGATCTGAACAGCCATTCAGATCCCCTTTTTAGTGAAAAGGGAAAATTGATTGGATACTATGGCAACAGCTATGGCAACAGCTATGCCCCTTTCTCTCCCCCCCCCCCCCCCCCCCCCCCCTCTCTGATTTTTATAATCCAGCAACAGTGAATCTCTAACATTAGGAGTTAGGTGCAGCTTATTGTTATTCTGTGGTCTGCATTGTATGAATGAAAATACAAATAACAAACACCGTGTTCCTCTTTAGTTTGTAGTCACTTCATTCTGGAGTATTTATGCGTATGATCGGGAACTTGTGTATCCAAAGGTATTGGACAGCGTCATTCCAGTATGGCTGAATCACACAATGGTAAGAAGGCTTTGAACTAAACCCTTTGCTGATCCTTGCAGTTACTTTATCATTATGGATCCTCCTGATTCTAACAAAGGGAGCAGATCACTTCCATTGACTTGACTGTTTTTGACTGTTTTGATCTTTGTACAGTGTCAACTAAGAATATATATTGTGCTCTTTTCCAGCACACCGTTATCCTTCCTCTGGTGCTCATTGAGGTATTTGCCTATTCTCACCAGTATCCTGGCAGGAAAAGCGGACTTGCTTTGCTGGCTGTGTTCTGCTTAGCGTACTTATCATGGTAAATATCTAACCAATGTTCAGGAATTGGTGTCATTATAAAACGGCACAGAATTACTTTGAGCATTATGGAATCTTTTATTAGGGATGCACCAATACCCTTTCTTTATCAGCAAGTACGAGTACCGATACTTTCGGTCAAGTACTCGCCGATACCGATACTTTTCGGTACGATTTGTGCCAATACACAATGTATGCAAGAAAATTGCACTCCAAAGAATAGCATGTGATTCCTGTTCAAATTGCATGCAGTTTCTCCACACAGTAGCGGTGCAGGGTGGCTTCCTGCAGTGGTAAGTGGACGTGTGGGGATCTATACTATGGAAGCAGATGCTCCATAATCTCAGCAGTAGGAGAGGAGAGAAAGCCGCAGTGATTTTAAATCCTGAGACTGCTGAATCGGCTTTCTCTCCTCTCCTTGCAGTTGCAGGGGTGACCGTTTTTGGCTAGAGGGCTTTTGATTGGTCAGCACCATCACATAGATGATGCTGACCAATCAGATGCCGTCTAGCCCGTACTGTCATCCCTGCAAGGAGAGCTTCAGAGGTCTGGGGATTTGAAATCCCTGCGGCTTTTTTTTTCCTTTCCTTTCAGGGATGACATTATGGGCTAGACAGCATCTGATTGGTCAGCACCGTCCATGTGATGGTGTTGACCAGTCAAAAGCCCTCTAGCCTGAACTGTCATCCCTGCAAGGAGAGGAGAGAAAGCGGCAGGAATTTCAAATCCTCGCTGCTTTCTCTCCCCACCGCTGAGAATATGGACTATCTGCTTCCATAGTATACATATAAACAAACTCCTTTATCCATCCATGTCTCTATGCTTTATTTTGCTGAGAAATCATTTTCAAAAACACATACTGACATTTCTGGCAGTGGCCATGTTGAGAAAGGGCAGATGATTCATGTAGCAGTTACTTCCTGAAACCTAATCGGCCCTTAGCTCGGGCATTGACTAAGCCGAGAACCCTCCCTCCGCTCCTGAAGACTCCTGAGATGTATGACCTCATTTGCCTAGGCATGGAAACCAGGAAGTAAATGAAGGAATGCTAAAAAAAAAAAAAAAAAAAAAAAGGTTAAAATAAGTAAATATGATATATTTTCCTATCTGTTTAGTAATGCTAGCAGCATAAGGATTAGAAATAGTCCATGTTGATTGAGAGAGTGAAGTTCCGCTTTAACGTGTGTGTGTTTTATACTAATATCCATCAAACTCTCTGCAGGATCCTCTGGGTGCATTATGCAGCTGATATCTGGGTGTATCCCATCCTTGCTAAGCTGGACCCTGTTGGAATGACAGTGTTCTTTGCGGCAAGTTTTCTCATCGTGGTACCCTTCTACTATCTGGGAGAGTTCTTGACTCATTGGCGTTGGGGTAAGTTATTGTTCATTTTCATGACTCTCTTCATAAAATTTTTATAAAACGGCTTCATGTAAACTGTTTAAATTGCCTCACAGCAATTATGTTGGGTGTGCATCTCTGCGGCTGGGGAATGTGTGCAAAATCAATGTTTGCAATGTGCAGAGAAAATGAACTGCACTTTAGCAGATGCATGGGGGTTCTATTGGTCACTTTCCCTCCAGAGGATTTACACCCCCCCCCCCCCCCCTTCCTGACCAGGCCATTTTTTACGATACGGCGCTGCGTTACTTTAACTGATAATTGCGCGGTCATGCAACGCTGTACATGAATGAAATTTGTGTCCTTTTTTCCCACAAATAGAGCTTTCTGTTGGTGATATTTGATCGTCTGTGCGTTTTTTTTTTTTTTGTTTTTTTTTTATTTTTTGCGCTGTAAACAAAAAAAAGACCGACAATTTTCAAAAAAAACAATATTTTTTACTTTTTGCTATAAAACATCCATTAAAAAAATTTTCATTTTAGCCAAAATGTATTCTGCTACATGTCTTTGCTAAGAAAAATCACAATACGTGTATATTTATTGGTTTACATGAACGTTCTAGCGTCTACCAATGGCAGTGTATATATACTGGATGTTGTGTTTTTTTTTTTTTTTTGTTTTTTTTTTTTAAAACTAGTAATGGCGGTGATCAGCAACTTATAGCGGGACTTGGGCGGGCATTCTGACTTTGCATGGGAACTGACTAACTGCCACTGACATACCCAGTGGCACTAATACAGGGATCAGTGCTAATAAATAGCACTGACACTGTACTATTGACACTGGGCAAGAAGGGGTTAACATCTGGGGCAATCAAAGGGTTAACAGTGTGCTGTTTTTCTTGGGAGACATGCTGCTTTGTATCTCTCTGCAGAGAGATACAAAGCAGCATGTCCATGTTGACTGGAGAGAGATCGGTGGTGTTTACACACAGGTCTCTCCCCTGTCAGCTTTGCCGACAATCACCGAGTCCTGGCCAGGAATGTGAAGTCCCATTCTTTCCTCCTATTCCTCTCTAACCCATCTTGTGAGGTTTTTAGTTCTTAGCTGGGGAAACTAGTTATTTTAATCCAGCTGTCAGTTTGGGGGCATAACATCCCAGAGATGGGCTTTAATGTTTTTATTTGTTTGTGTATTTTTCTACAGTATATGATATGCCTGTTGCTATCCAAAGTCATAACCTGTGCTGTTTACTCCACAGGATCTGGTCGCCCATCTAAGAGAAGGAGGAAAAAGAAGAACTAAAGGCACTATTAATAATTCAGGGCTTTTTATCTTTCCTTTTTTTTTTTTTTTTTTTTTTTTTTACTATCCAATAATTTTTCCCCTGTCGCTGGCAGAGGGACACAACTACTTTAATCTTTTTGCTGATTGGTACAGGTAACCATTCCACAATTCAATGAGTGACCTTACATATCACTACTGTGTTTTCATGAGATTCCAGCTCCATGCTGGAGTTGAGATCAGTCCTGGAAATGGTGGTTTGTTTTTTTTTTTGTTTTTTTTTTCTCCCAGGATCTCAGTGGTTGGACAAGCACTATTTTTTTTTTGCTGTCGAAAGAACTTCAGGACAGTTTGTTTCTACCACTGCCTGCCAAGTGAGATTTCAAGAATTGCTTGATTATAAGCTCTGTTTACATGATGGGGACCCCAACACTGAAGGATGCACTGTCTAGCCGCAGTCTCTTATTCTGTGGCCATGCTGTCTAATGAAGAACTCTGAGCAAAGTCAGGGTGCATCACTACAAGATGGCGAGAGGTTTTGGCGCTGTTTTCTATACTATGAACTGTTTATAACAACTTTTATGTGACTTGTGCACTGTAACATAGGAAGGAGGTTTTTTTTTTTTTTTGTTTTTTATTGTTTTCCATTCCCCTCCAATATTGTCTAAGATATGTGATATTTGAACTACTGTTCCATGTGTTGAGTTTCTGATATGGAGTAAAATCTGTCAAGATTTAGATCTGTCCTGCCCTCTAGTGTCCAATCAAAATGTAGCCGTGCTCTCAAAGTTTAAAGAAGATGTTTGTGTAAGGTAAAAAGTCCTAAATAGATGCTTATAACAGCAAAAGTGTGGCATTCAGCACAAATCCGTATGTTTGTTTTTTGTTTTTTTATCATATGAATTGCCTGGTGGGTGTTCCAAGAGATGTTTTTCTAATCTCCCTTAAGAATACATGTCTTCACATAGCAACATTTTAACCACTTTACTATCACCATTAGTTTTAATATGGGGGTTTGGTAGTCAAGTATTTCTGGATTGCTGTATATACCAGTCTTACAGAAAAGGTCCTCTTTAACATCCACACATGAAAACAAATGTAATTGGTTGCCTGTTCTCCTTGTACAAGGTTATCCTGTACATGTAATGCAAGGCACTGCAGGTTTATTTCAAAAGCAATCTGGCTGCCAAGAGGTACTGCGTTTTTTGTTTTTTGTTCTTTTTGCACAGCTTTATCAGATATGCCAGATGGAACATTCCAATTGGCAAACGAACATGTAAAGAAAATTTCACACAATAAAACAAGTTGGGTTGCATCCCATTTTCAGGGTCCTGGATCATACTTGAGCAGTTTCGGTTGTTGAATGTAATTGCCTGTTAGACTTGATGCCCCTTTGCAAAGGTTTTTGGCATCAGCCAGGATAATATTTAATGAAAGAAATGTTGAATGTTTGTTGCATCCAGCCTTTGGTATGTACATAAACTCTTATAAATATACTGAGCTGTCTTTATGCACTTTATTCATTTATACAGCAGGGGACATGTACTGTACTGGACACCAAAAGGTACACTTCAATCAGACCTGTTTGTTTTGAAACTCGTTCCTCTTCTCCACCCTAGGGTTTTTGGTGTCCTTGGAGGATTACCTATTGCTCCAAGTCACTGCCTCATAGTCTTTAATGGGAAGAGTGAGAATTGGATTTACTCTCGGGTAATGAGCTGCTTGTACAAGAATCCGATGCTTCACTTATCGCCGGTTAATAATATTTTCTGTACATACATTTATATTTGGGAAATGTGTGATGGAGTACAGGAATCAATATTAAAATACAGTATGCCCCCTCTTACCCTGCACTGTACAGGATACCTGTTCTCCCCAGGGGAAGGCTGCTAATTAGGGATCATGCTGTCTAGCAGTAATCGGAGCTCAATGTGACATTCATTTCCCTTTTGTAAGGTGAGCATAGAAACACTCATAGCTCAACACAGATCCACAGCTGCTTAGCAACAAACATGACAGGTATATGGGAGCATGCCACTAAGTACCGTATAGTGCATGTACAGCCCCATGTCCCTGCTGGACTTTTTGGGGTTTCTGTGCTTTCTCTTTTGTTAGCTGAGGGCCAGAGCCATAAATCCTGTTTGGGCTCAGTTAGTGTGGCCTCTAACAACCAATTTGCCTTTTTAAATTTTTTTTTGGCAGCAAATTTGAAGAACAGATATTTGAAAGCCATAGTAATTGGAGCTTTGTAAGTGATGTCACTGTAATGTCTGCCCTCTTTCACTGTGAAATAGAACATTAATGCATGGGAAACCTCTTTTTTGGATTCATATATCTATCTTTACATTTCTGTATCTGCTTTTGGTGAAAGGTTTAAAAAAAAAATGTTTGTATCTGCTTGAGCAATGCTAGAATTGCTCCTGTAACAAACAAAAATATATTTTATGGCTGTCCTGAGTTTCTGCAGTCCATACACTCAGCTCAGAAAAGAGGACCCCAGTTGGGCTTTGGCAGCAGTCAAGGAGTTAGACAATGAAGTACATCGGTGGTGGGTTAGATGGCTTTCTGGAAAACCCAGCCGTCTTCCTCGCTTGCTGTGTGTCTCCCTGTAAACGCAGAGCTGTAGTTTATCTTAAATCATTGAGGAGGCACCTCCCAGCTTGGGGTAACAACAAGGTCCCTATTCTGTCTGATTCACCATCCAGATGAGTTATTCAACAAATGTTAAATCCCACTGCAACAAATATAGCAGCTACATCTGTAAAATTCTCAATAATGTTATCAAACTGTGGCAGCATTTGTTTCTGCTACAGACAGAGAAGCTCCTTTTTATAAACAGTTGGCCTGTAGCCTAAGCAGCCCATAGATTATGCAATTTTCTTTCCTTCCTGTGTTCCAACGGTATGAGGCACACAAAATCTGTTGCTTTTCCTGGCATTTTCTACCCTAGCTTCTTTCAGGTGCCTGTCCCTCAAGTGGCCTTGATTGGCTGTTGCGGGATGACGTCATTCCCATGCATGCCCACGAGTCATGTGTCCCCACACTGTGCAAAGCCATCCAGAGCAGTGTGCTGGAGCTGACAGGGAGGAGGATTGTTAGTAAACAAAGCAACCCTCCTCGCTGTCGGAGATCCTCGGTAATCACCGGGCGCCGGCGGGTAATCACTGACCGGTACCCGTTGATTGACGGCTGCGAATGGAGGTGCAGGTAGGGCGTGTGCACCCCCTACCTGGAAATACAAAATCACGTACATATGTGATTTTGCGCACCTCTGCCTCCGTGTATCTGCTATAGGACGGTCGGGATGTGGTTAATAATTAATGCATATTCATTCGTTATTAAAGCGAAGTTCCACCTGAAAAAAAAAAAAAAGTCCGCAGCTACAAAAACTGTAGATCCTGACTTTTAAAATGCAGATACTTACCTGTCCCTTGGTCCAGCGGTGTCCTCACCACCGCTGGTTTCACTGGCTGTCTCCTTTCTCTGGCGCCGGCATCTTCATTGTGGTCACCCGCCTGTGACAGCTTGCAGCTTTACAGCCGCATGCGCGAGGAGCGCTGCGCTTTGTGAATGGCCCCATAGTCTTCTGGGACAAGTCATGTCCCAGAAGCCTACGGGGAGGGAGGGGAGGACAACTTCCGCTTCTGATCGCCTAGGCGATCACAGCGGATGTGGGAGTGGGTACTTGTCAAATTCAGGTACCCGCTCCCCAAAGGTGCCAATCCTTAATGGAGTGGCGGACAAAGGCTTATAGTGCAACTTCCCCTTTTGCGTGGAGCCCTGCTTTAAGTTGATTTAATTTCTCCATTCCCAACTGCCTTTGTTTGACTGCACACAAACAAATTAAAGGCTTGGTCTCTCAAGTTCAACCCCAAGACATAAAGAATCTATTCATGCTGCGCTCAATCAGTTTGAATCATTCTTTATTTTGGATGTTTCCAACATTATTATTATTATTATTATTATACAGTATTTATAAAGCGCCAATAGTTCGCTCAGCGCTGTACATTACAAAGGGGGACAAAACATGAGCGGATCGAGGGCCCTGCTCTTTCGAGCTTACAATCTAGGAAGGAGGGGATGGTGGTACAGGAGGAGATAGCTGTGGGGGATGGAGTGGTAGGAAGAGTGGAGGAGGTCGGCAGGTTAGCAGGGGGTGGGGTAGGCTTCCCTGAAGAGATGGGTTTTCAGGGTGCACCTAAAGGAGAGGAGAGTAGGTGATAATCTGATGGGTTGGGGCAGGGAGTTCCAGAGGATGGGTGACACCCTGGAGAAGTTCTGGAGGCGGGCATGGGAGGAGGAGACCAGGGAACTAGAGAGAAGGAGGTCTTAACACAAGGCCCAAACTATGGCATCATGTACTTCGAATGAAACATCAATATGAATAAATTTGTTGTTTTCATTATAATTTATTTTGGGTTTAGTTGAAATTCGTTACTATTGTGATTCTGAGATTTGGATAAATTCAAAGCTCTAACGCAAATTTTGTCCGCATTTCGATACTTAATGATACGAGCGTCAGTACAGGTAACTAATGTGAGCAAAAATGGACACACAAACAGAATCAAGCGTTAGATCCAAACTACACTACATCCTGGATAGAAGAACCAAACCACTCTAAAAACACAACAAAAGATGTTGGCTGATCTTTGCTGTCAGTTGAATGATTCAAGACGTGGGACTCCCAAAATTTTGGTTTGGTTCTCTGATGTGTCGGTTTTGGCTAGCAGGTGTACATTGATCACCAGACTGACAAAGCCGAGTGACATAACCCTTCGGTTAAAAGAAGCTTGGAGTTCAGCTACTTCGGTCATGACATCTCTTTCCAGCAGCTACTCTCGTCTTTTATTGCCTGGGCCATAATTATGTCCTCACTTACCAAGTAACCTCGGAAGAAAAAGGATTTTATTCTTTGATATCTCTTTTCTCTCTCCGCAACCACTGCCTTGGCTCTGAAGGATCTTTTAACAAATAATATTCCTGGCTGTATCTCCTCTGTCAGGATCTCCCGCTAGGTCAGAAAGCCACACAGAGCCCAACTTTTTATTTCTGTATTCAGCACTGTGTACTTATTAGAAGTCCCTGGCTGTAAATGTGAACAGTTTCACAGGCACTTGAGAAGGACACCAGGAAGTATGGGGGAAGCCTTTGGATCCTATAATATAAGAAGGTTGAGAATTGTTATGTTGGGGGCGGGTAACCCCCTTTCCCCCCCCCCCCCCCCCCCTCCATATAGGAAGCTGCTGTCACCCTATGCCCTGGCCACACAATGATTGCTCTCTCAGGCTCTTGTCTCTCAAGCTTACCCTTTCGCTTCCCGTCCCCTCTTTCCAGCACTAGCCGGTGGTCTCTGATCACAGCCGCAGTACGTCACCTTTTTTCCTACCGAGCCTTTATCCTCTTCCCTGTGGGAACCGGGGTGTCAGTGACACAGATCTGAAAATGGCCTTTTCACTGGGCGTCTGGGGCACAGAGAGTGAATATAAGAGACTTTCAGTTTTCAAAGGCACGCTGCTTACTCAGAAAGAGAGCGGAGAATGCGATCCGACAGGCGTGCCTGATTAACCCTTTCACATAGAAGGGCCAGGGGCTAACCTGTTTGATGACGGACTCTGGGTGACTTTAATAAAGCGGTTTCTGTTTTTGTCTTGTACGGGAGGAGTGGGCCAAACCGCGCTATTGTAGCTGCGGGTAAAGGAAGCTGGGTATTAATCATCCCTGGATTGCATCCAAGCATTAACCACTTCCAACATGCAGCTCATGGCTATTAAAGGGAAACTCCGCTTTCACAAAAAAGATTTAATAGAAGTATTTCTGTACATGACATTTTGAATGTAATTATATTTAAAACATTTTCTTTCGGGCCTCTATTTCATTGCAGCCATACAGACTACTTGGAGGGGTTTATATGCAGAATACTCCCCCTCTTGCTTTTGTGATTGGCTTTTTTTTTTCCCCCAGCATGAAGTTTGAAATCACATAACAGACGTCCTCTGTATTAGTTCCAGTTTAAAGTGATACTAAACCCAGTACCCTGCATTCACTATATCCGGTCTTCCCGGCCCCTGCATTCACTATATCCGGTCTCCCTGGACCCTGAATTCACTATCTCCGGTCTCCCCGGACCCTGCATTCACTATATCTGATCTCCCCGGACTCTGCGTTCACTATATCTGGTCTCCCCGGACCCTGCATTCACTATATCTGGTCTCCCCGGACCCTGCATTAACTATATCTGGTCTCCCCGGATCCCTGCATTCACTATATCTGGTCTCCCCGACCCTGCACTAACTATATCTGCTCCCCGGATTCACTATATCTGGTCTCCCCGGACTCTGCATTCACTATATCTGGTCTCCCCGGACCTGCATTCACTATATCTGGTCTCCCCGGACCCTGCATTCACTATATCTGGTCTCCCCGGACCCTGCACTCACTATATCTGGTCTCCCCGGACCCTGCATTCACTATATCTGGTCTCCCCGGACCCTGCACTCACTATATCTGGTCTCCCCGACCCTGCATTCACTATATCTGGTCTCCCACAGTACACACAACATGGAAATGCAATTATTTTAGTAAATATGTGCAAAATACCTTTTTTCAGCAGTTAGTGCAATCTTGTGGCTTCTATCAGGGTCCAGCCAAGCACTAGCTAAAGCTTGCAGGAGGAGTTTTCTTTCTGCTCTAGCAGGATGCAGAACGCCTGATCTTTGTCTGGACAGTGCTGATTGGTTGGCCCTGTGCTGATCACATGCACTCTCCCAAGAAAAAAAGAAACCTCTAGCAATACACACCAAACTGAACATGTGCATGCCTACGGTTCAGTCTGTAGATAAGAGGTGGTCACTTGAAAAAGGGGAGAAACAGAGAAGGCAGGATCAAACAGCCTTTTTACACAATGCAGAGAAGTTAACCCCTTAGTTTCCACAGTGAGTATAACAAGCATGCTTTACTGCATATACAGACTGATTGTACTGTTGTAGGTTTAGTGACACTTTAAGCGCCATCCTTCCAAAGGCTTCTACGTGTGAAACAGAGATGCTTGGGCTGTAAATGTTCTCATTGCAGTTGCCTGATCACATGGTGGCAATGAAGGCAGATCCTCCTCGTTACCAGCATGATTAATAGGCTCGCAATACCTATATCAGTATCTCCAGAACAGGAAAAGGTAAGAATCAGCAAAGTCATTTACTAAATATCTATACAATGTATAGAGTTCACCTGATGGGAATTTTGTTCTCAGCTAAAGTGGAATTTCTTATTTTGCCAGCTATGAATATGAGAGAATGGTGTTGTCTGCGGCAACCAAACATTTTCCTTCCATGTTTCTCGAGCAGGTTTCAGATTGAAATGGTGGAACCGGTCAGTATGGGTAATAGGTCTTTGGAGCAGTCCTGAGAATAGTTACTGCTGGAGGCTTGATCTGCTTAGAGCCTGTAGAGTTCTGTGTTTATAGGCCTTGTTCAAATGGGCGTACCACAATGTAGACCCATATGAGGGTCATATTCAGCCCCAAATCCAATCACTGTCCAAATCTTGTAGACTTTACCTCCGCAACATCTCCAAGATACGGCCGTTCCTAACCTCGGAAACCACTAAGGAACTTATTCCCTCCCTGGTTATCTCTCTCCTTGACTATTGTAACTCCCTCCTCATTGGCCGCCCTCATCGCAGGCTATCCCCTCTTCAGTCTATCTTGGATGCTGCCACCAGATTTATCCACCTTACTAACCATTCTGTATCAGCCACCCCTCTCTGCCAATCCCTCCACTGGCCTCCAGTGTACTCCACCCCTCTCTGCCAATCCCTCCACTGGCCTCCATTCAGTGTCCTCCACCCCTCTCTGCCAATCCCTCCACTGGCCTCACTCAGTGTCCTCAATCCCTCCACTGGCCTTCACTCAGTGTCTTCTATCCCTATTTGCCAATCCCTCCACTGGCCTCCATTCAGAGTCCTCCACCCCTCTGCCAATCCCTCCACTGGCCTCCACTCAGTGTCCTCCACCCTCTCTGCCAATCCCTCCACTGGCCTCCATTCAGAGTCCACCCCTCTCTGCCAATCCCTCCACTGGCCTCCACTCAGTGTCCTCACCCCTCTCTGCCATCCCTCCACTGGCCTCCACTCAGTGTCCTCCACCCCTCTCTGCCAATCCCTCCACTGGCCTCCAGTGTCTTCTATCCCTATTTGCCAATCCCTCCACTGGCCTCCATTCAGAGTCCTCCACCCCTCTCTGCCAATCCCTCCACTGGCCTCCATTCAGAGTCTCCATCCCTCTCTGCCAATCCCTCCACTGGCCTCCACTCAGTGTCTTCCATCCCTCCTTGCCAATCCCTCCACTGGCTTCTCGTTGCCTAACGAATAAAATTCAAAACATTAACAATTACACATAAAGCCATTTATAACTCTGCCCCAAATTACATCACCAACCTTGTCTCCAAATATCACCCAAACCGTCCTCTCCACTCCTCGCACGACCTCCTGCTCTCTAGCTCCCTTGTCTCCTCCTCCCATGCTTGTCTCCAAGACTTCTCTAGAGCTTCCCCCATCCTCTGGAACTCTATACCACAATTTATCAGACTGTTGGCTACTCCGCTCACTTTTAGCCGATCTCTGAAAACCTATCTCTTCAGGGAAGCCTATCCTGCCCTCAGCTAATAATGGAATCATCTATTCCTCCTACCAGTCCATCCCCCACAGTTACTATCTTTTGTACCACTAGCCCCTCCCTCTTAGATTGTAAGCTCCAAGGAGCAGGGCCCTCCTAAACCTCTTGTATTAAACTGTATTGTCTCCTATTATAGTGTAAAGCGCTGAGCACACTGTTGGCGCTATATAAATCCTGTATAATAATATTGCCCATATGGGGCGCAGCGGCTGCACGGACACTGCTCCCAAACTGACAGCTGTACGGGTACACAGCCCTGAGCACAGACAGTGAGTATTCGGGGCCAATCAACTGCATGTCTTTCATACTGGGAGCAGCAGCTGTGTCATTGCAGGTGCTGCATCCCAATTGACATGAACGGGACTGCCTGGACAGGGATGCACCGAACACCTTGTGTGGGCAAACATGGCCCTCGCATCCCTACTGCAGATAACAATGTTAGGAAGCTCATGAATCTGCTACAAAGGACACCATTGACTGAACCCCCTTTTTGTACATTGAATTTATGGAGTAGTGATGTGTTTTTCCTGATCTCATCAATATCAGGCCAATTGTGGATCTGCAGCTTCTGTACAAAACTACCATTTGCAGCATCTGGAAGAGCCTTGCTGCCCTCTGGTGTTCATCACCGAGAGTGCGGATCACACGGAGCCGTTGTGTAACGTGGTCATTGATGGAGAACATAAGGCCAAGTACAAAGTGCAGTTCCTCTTTGATCTGTCTTTATGATGTAACCTGTCAGAGACGAATTGTATGTGCTATGGATTCAGCAAGGGGCTGGGCATTTTCTAAAGAATTTTGGCCCTTGGAAAGAAGCATGGAGTTTATGCAGATTTTTTTGAATGCAGATTCATAATTCATATGCTACTAACCCCCACGATCCATAAAAGGTTCAGGTGACACTAAAGTGTGTTTTTTTTTTCTTTCTAAAATAACAGATATTTCTATATTGACCTGCTCTGTGCAGTGGAGCAGCTCGATCCTCTTCTTTTCGGGTCCTCACCGGTGCTCCTGGCTCCTCCCCCTCGAGTGGTGCCCCCAGGGAAGCTGCTCGCCCTGGGGACACCGCTGTGTGCTTGACCTGAGTCACTGCTCTATTATTATACTGGATTTATATAGCACCAAAAGTTTGCGCAGTGCTTTACAAAATGAAGGTACACATTACAGTTACAATCCGGGGCGAACTGACAACTCATGGGGCCCCTGGGCAATAGGGGATCATGGGGCTCCTGTGTCCTTGCCCAAACTCAAAAAAGCCTATGAAAAAGGTACCAGGGGCATCTCATGGGGCCCCCTACTGACCCCGGGCCCTCGGGCAGGCAGTGCCCAAGTTTCCAAATTATAAGTCCGCCCCTGGTTACAATACAGTTTGGTACAAGAGGAAACAGAGGGCCCGGCTCGTTAGAGCTACTGAACACACTGCTGTCTGGCCGGAGTGCCCGGGATCCTAAGAATCAGGTGTAGATATATTCCACAGTTTTCTGGAAGGAATTCCCCTTTACCTTGTTGAATACAGCCAACTCACAACTCACACTTGCTTGCTATGCTTGCTATTGGAGAGCTGCATTTACCCCCCCCCCCCTCCCCCCCCGAGGCTAGGTTCACACCTATGCAGTTTGTGTTTGATCTGTTTCTGCATTGCGTTTTGCACGTTTTTTGCCACTTTTTTAAATGCGTTTTGCTTTTTTTTTTTTTTTTTTTAATTTTCTTGTCGCTAAGCAGATTTAAAAAGTGGCAAAAATATATCAAAAACGCACTACATGCTTTTCTGCAGCGTCTCCATTGAAGTCTATAGAACCAAAAACGCAACGTTTTGCGTTTTAAAAAAGTCCCTGACCCTTTCCAAACAATGCACCGGGTGAAAACACGGAGATATGAACGTGTCCCATAGGAAATCATGTTAAATGGACCGCTGTGTTTCCGCAAAACGCTTAGGTGTGAACCTAGACTAGAGAGATGCTCACGTAAGTGGTTGTAAGCCCTTACCTATACCTAGTGAAGTGACTGACCTCAGGTGATACACAGAGATTAAACCAATAATTCTACATAAGGTGTACGTTTATCTGCAACCAGGGGCGGACTGACAACTCATGGGGCCCCCGGGCAATAGGGGATCATGGGGCCCCTGTGTCCTTGCCCAAACTCAAAAAAAAAGCCTATGAAAAAGGTACCAGGGGCATCTCATGGGGCCCCCTACTGATCCCGTGCTCGAGTTTCCAAATGGTTAGTCCGCCCCTGTCTGCAACCCATGTCTCCTCTACAGTCTCCTAAAACACACAGATCAAAGGCTTTTTTTTTTCTCAGTTCCAGCATGTAGGAGGCTGGGACCTGACATCACAAACTGCACATCATAGAGCACAGAGCTGAGTGTAATCTGAGACATGAGTAGAGGAAAAGGGCGCGTGCCCCTCTACACAATCTCACAGGAAAACCTGCACAGCTGAGGCTGTCAATCATCTTCTATGGGGGGCAGGGCCATTCTCAGAGATTCTGTGGTGTTGGGATAACCTGTCAGAAGTGACTAATGCAGACAGCAGAGAGGAGACACAAATCACATGAGGTTCTTTGGAATGAGAAAAGCACATAATGTAGAGGGATATGCTCTGTTCATTTTTCATTTCAGACGTTTATAACCACTTTAACTAAAAAAGGTTTCTTCTATTACTCGCAGCTTTTTTTTTTTTTTGCTGCTGTGATTTAGCGATCTGTTAGAGGGTGGCTGTGTTCATTCTTCATAGTCTCACTCTATGTAGGAACACAGGCCACCCTTTCCGCCTCACTCTTGACATGGATTATGGACTGTGCATAGAGCTGTGCACATGACTGCAACTAATGTACACTGCTCATTCCAAAAAACAAAAGTGAGGGGGAAAAGGATAGGTGTGGGAGCTCACAGAGGACATTACAGAGAGGCAGAAGTAACGTAACTATTTAATGAAGAATAAATGACAGGACCATTCATAAGAGGATGTTTATGGATTATATGTGGAGGATATGGATTGGTGTCACAGATTGGTATGTTGTGTAGCCCTGCATGGTACTATAGCTGCAGATCTCTTCCTGTACATAGGTACCTTTTAGGAGAACTATAGATTTGACTGAAATATGGAACAGCAAGCATATAAATCTGTGAGAGTCAAGTCTAATGCTGGCCATACATGGGTCAAAATTCGACCGATTTTTTCATCCGAAAATCAGACCCAAGAATAATCGGCCAATTTTCGCTCTGTTAGTGGGGTCAATGGCACCGGCTGATTTTCGCTCTGTAAGTGGGTCAATGGTACTGGCCGATTTTCGCTCTGTAAGTGGGTCAATGGCACCGGCCGATTTTCGCTCTGTTAGTGGGTCAATGGCACCGGCTGATTTTCGCTCTGTAAGTGGGTCAATGGCACCGGCCAATTTTCGCTCTGTTAGTGGGGTCAATGGCACCGGCTGATTTTCGCTCTGTAAGTGGGTCAATGGCACTGGCCGATTTTCGCTCTGTAAGTGGGTCAATGGCACTGGCCGATTTTCGCTCTGTTAGTGGGTCAATGGCACCGGCCGATTTTCGCTCTGTTAGTGGGTCAATGGCACCGGCCGATTTTTGTGGTTCCTCCCCTTTTCGGTGATCGGGCATGTTTGAAAATTCATGAAAAACCACAGATTTTCGATTCGACGATGGTCAAATCATACGATCGTTTTCCCGAAAAGAATATGCGCATGAGCCGTGACCTGGAAGGAACAGAAGTTTCGCCTGTTATATGGGGTGAACTTTGTGACTCGGTTGGCCGATATAAGAAATCATTGATGGCACCATCGGATTACCGAGGGATTTTGATTCTCGGATGAAAAATCGTTCGGAATCCGACCCATATATGGCCTGTATAAGTCCTCATGCACACTGGAAGTTTTATAACAGCGGCTGTTTTTGGCTTTTGACGGTTTTTTATACAGTCAGTAAACCCCTCAGCATGTTATCTATGTGTCCATACACACATAGACTGGAATCAACGTTTTTTGGCTGGAAAAAAAAACCCAGAACTAGTGGGCTTCTAGAGGAGTTTTGTAGCTATGAAAAACGCTCTAACGCTGAAAAATGCATCAAAATGCGGTAAAATGTTGCAAACTGGCGTTTTTGGCCTTTTTTTACTCAAAAAAAAACACCAAAAAATGCAAACGTGGGAAAACGCAGCTAATCGCGCCAAAACGCCGCTATACACTAATGCAAAAACGTTTATAAAAAGCTGAAAAACTCGCGGTTCTAATGTGACTTTACACAGCTAACGTTACCAGTGTTATCAAAACGTCCCGTGTGCATGAGGATTCAAACTAGTCCTAAAAGGGGGAGACTTACTAAACCTGGTTCACAGTGGCTAAATGGTTAGTACTTCCACCTGGCAGTACTAGCGTCATCAGTTCAAATCCCAACCACGGCACCACCTGCTTGGAGTTTGCATGTTCTCCCTGTGCCTGCGTGGGTTTCCTCCCACACTCCAAAGACATGCTGGTAGGTGAATTGGCTTCTGCCTAAATTGGCCCTAGTATGTGTATGCAGGGGCTGACCAATTGGAAACTCGGGCACTGCCCGAGGGCAGTAGGGGGCCCATGAGATGCCCCTGGTACCTATTTCATAAGCTTTTTTGAGTTTGGGCAAGGACACAGGGGCACCATGATCCCCTATTGCCCGGGGGCCCCATGAG